TTTTTTTTTTTTTTTTTTTTTTTTTTCAATTAGCTCTATCCATCTCCAGGGACTCCAAAAATAAAAATAAAGAGGGGGTTGGTGGAGGGAGTACGACACAACACGTGAGGCCCATTAAGGCCCTCCCGTCGCTTTAGACGGTTCAGCTAGTAGTATGATTGGTAGGTTGTAGTGGTTTGTTTTTCTTCCTTTCCTTTTCCTTTTTCTGCTTATGGTGGCTTTTCTTTCTTTCTCTTTGGTTTGTTAGGTTTTTAAGGCCCGAGGCTTCCCCGTTTTGTGTGTGGAGAGTGAGGTTTCAGGACATCGGCCTTGATTTGGTCATCCTTGTTCCTAGATTATCCTCCAGCTCTCATATGAAGTATGAGTTCAGCGAGCAACTGCTCGTAAGCTAAACTGGCTGATGCTGCCAGGATAACTCCGGGTTGAATTGTGAGGTCCCCGGCCTCGATTTGACCCTGATAATAAATGGATTGCCTTTGAGGGGAAAAAAAAACAAAAAAAAAAAACAATAATGATGGTGTTGGGGGGTGGGTATGGAGGTGTTGGTGGGGTTATTGGGTGTTCTGGACACAAACAAATTTTATTTTATTTTTTGTTTGTGAGGTGCCAATGAACCCCGACCGGCAGGTGCCGACCAGCCGACCGGTTGGCTGGTCGGCAGCCAACCAGTCAAGGGTCGCCGACCGTTGGTGTGTGCAACACTGCTGGGCAGTATATTGCTGGAGACCATAGAAACAAGACAAATCGCAAATACTGGTGCATGAGCTATTCTCGCATTGCCTGGGCAGAAGGAGGCAGGAGGATGCAGAAGGATGCAGAAGGATGCAGAAGGAAGTGCTTAGGACTGCAGTACTGCGAGCAGTTCTATTCCTGAGGGATGTGTTGTGATTGTCCTCTGTGGAATGTAAAGACTTGCACATTACGCTAATTTTATTCTTGCAACCTGTTCTGATGAGTTTTTCAACAGCTGTTCCTGCGTCCCGTCCTTATTTGGAAGTTTTTACTTTGGTTTTGGTTCTTTTGAAGCATAAAGAACTTGCCTGCTGAAGTCCAGTCAGGACTTCCGTGACCTTCTTTCCTGGCATTTGCCAGTCTGTTTGAACAGTCTGTGCAGATTAAATCTTTAAATCTTCGGTGAAGCTAACTGATGATGATGATGGTGGTCCTATATTTTCTTCCTTGGTGTTTCTTTGCTTGTGGGTGTGTGCTCTTTTATCTCAGATTGATATTTTTGCAGAAGAGGTAGTTAGAGCAGGATCGGCTGCATCGTTATCGATATTGCTGAACCGTCTAAACCCAATGTTGAGGGCTGCTGCTGACATGGGAAGGTCAGTGAAAGTGACGAAGTGATGATGCATTACAAATCCCGGTTTTGCTGCTTGTTGATGGGCTCAGTCTTGGTCGCGGGTGCGGGGAGAATGTTCGAGCTTCTAAGCGTAGACTGTGGGGACTGTTAAATGTATGATTGGAAATGCACCAGCAGAAGGCATGTCACTCACTATCTGGTCTGAAGGCCCAGCTGTCGAACGGGTCTGGAAGAGAGCAGATTGGTTGTACTTGTCGCCATCATAGCAACTATACATGAATGTCGTGAAATGGAATTGTAAGGAAGTGACATAATGTGATTGAATCAATTTTTGTTTTCAGATTGACATCGAACTCCAATGGTTTTTGATTAAGCAAACACATGGATCCTGTTCCCTAGGGAGGAAGAGGAGGAGGAGAGGGTAAGTGGTGGGAAGGGAGGGAGTGTGGGTGGTGGTAAGGAGGGGATGGGAGAAGAAGAAAGTAGCGGACAAATATATAACTATGCAGGAAGAGAGGGTGCCATATGCAGTTTGTAAGAACTTGCTAAAAAGAGGGCAGTGCAGAGATCAGGATGAACAGAGAGGGAGTGGAGAGGGGGAGGCGATGTGTGAAGCGTTGAGACGAGTATGAACAGCTTGGCTATCCTGAGGAGATGTTTTGACGGGTTTCACTTGTAGGTCTACGGTGTTGAAGCATGCATGGTGTGGGAGGCCATAGATTTGTACACATCGGGTGTTTAGTGTCTCGGAGTCGGGACCTGTTCTGACCGTGATGGCCATGCCAGAAATGCTGTGAAGTTCGCGTCGGTTCTTTAGGAGTATTTAATTTAACAATTCCAGTTGGTGACTCTGACTGCTCTTATCGTTTGTTTGGTGTACGGTGGACAGTTGGCAAATTATTAGTCCGCATGAAGCCAGAGGGTTTGTGGAAGTTGTGGATGCATTGGGACCTGTGCAACACAAAGAGTATGGAAGGCCGACTGTTCTTTTGGCGGGAAGAGTGATGGGAGAGGAGGAAATCCCATCAGGAGTGGTTGCATTACTCACACCTGATATGCCCGACATTCTCTCCCATGTCTCGGTTCGTGCTCGCAATGGGAAGGTAAGTTTTAGTATACAAGACCTGGTCAAGGTTTTCTGTCGTGTATATTCCTGCTTTGCGCCTGAATGTCACACTCATGCTAGTGTTGATGAACAGAACAGATTACCGTTATGCATGCCTTAATGTTTACAGTCTAACTAACCCCATTTGTCTAAAAGACAAAGTACTTGGTGTGGTGTGAGGTGTTTATGGTCTAACCCCCTTTTTCTAAAAGACACAGTACTTGGTGTGGTGTGAGGTTTTACTGGTGGTCAAGTTCAAGAAGTTTACCTGTGCGGTGTGAGGTTTTCACTGGTGGCTAAGTTCAAAAAGTTCACTGGGGGGTGTGAGGTTTTACTGGTGGTTAAAAGTTCAAGAACTTTTTTTTTGTAAGTCTTTAACTGTGCGGTGTGAAGTTTTCACTGGTGGCTAAGTTCAAAAAGTTCACTGGTGGCTAAGTTAAATAAGTTCCACCTGTGCGTGTGAGGTGGTTTCACTAAGTTCAAGAAGTTTGGTGTGAGGTTTCAGTGGTGGTTAAAAGTTCAAGATACTTGTGCGGTGTGATGTTTTCACTGGTGGGAAAGTTCAAAAAATTTACTGGTGGCTAAGTTCGAAAAGTTCCACCTGTGCGTGTGAGGTGGTTTCACTAAGTTCAAGAAGTTTCCCTGTGCGGTGTGAGGTTTCACTGGTGGTTAAGATCTCAAGAAGTTTACTCGTGCGGTGTGATGTGTCACTGGTTGATTCAAGTCCAAAAAGTGTGCATGTGCAGAAGTTTATCTTTGTTTCTGAAGTGTATCCATGCGCAGGTCTCCTTTCTCTTTGAGTTTGACCATGAGTGACGTATAAAAGATTTCTTCAATTGTCAAAACGTTGTTGGCTAGTCAAACCATCACAATGAAACAAGGGTTCAAGGACCAGTCACTTTGTGTTTTTTGGACCTTTGCCAGGTTGCTCTCTGCTGTGTCTGGTCTTGCTTTCATTTAGTAGTTGTACCGGGAATCACTTTCCCAAGATTGAATGTGGTCCTTCAAGCCACCAGTACACCTGGGCCCTGAAGGCACTGCACTGCACACCGAGCTTTTCCCATCCGCCAGCGGGGGCATACTTTTTTTCGGTTTTTGGCCGGTGCTGCCAGCCATTGTGGTCCTGTAGGCCTGAGCTGCAAAAATTTCGTAGTAGCAGGCGGCAAACAGTTTTCTGCAAGGGCCGCGGGCGCGTGCTGGTGGCTTAACGCCCTAGGATTTAAATGGGGATCCATTGCACGCCTCACATGCTGATGAGTTTGCTACTTCATCGGTGAACAACCTTGGCCTTCCAGTACTACACCAAGCGGTCAACTAGTTTGCAGCATCGGCTTGATGCCAATCTGCCAGGGAGAACAGGGCCAAAAGACGGGGAAAAAAAAGCAACTTATAAGTGGTGTGTGCAGAAGAAGACGAAATGGACCTGATGCAGTGGTCTGCAGGTGAAGGGTTCAATCGCTCTCCTGCAGTAGAGGAAGAAGAGCACCAAAGTACGGAAGAAAAAAGGGGAAAAAGCTTGGGTAGTTTGTGTTAGCGATCGATATCCCCTCACTTGTCCTTTTCGGGCATGCTCTTGTTAAGCCGAATGTCCAGAGTGCAGAATTGATTGCGCAAACTCTCTCGTTCTTCTTGGTAGAGCCTTTCATAATTAACTTCAAATTGGTACTATGTTCAGAAGAAGACGAAATGGGCCCGATGCAGCGTCTGCTGGTGAAGGGTTCAATCCCTCTCCTCTGCTGCGGTATGTATCGTGTACGATGGATGTAACCTTGACATGGTCCTCGATGCTTTTGGTCTACCGTGCAGGTTTGCTTCGCAACTTGTTTTGACCGGAACACTTTCTCAGATTTGCAAGCCTTGAAGGACCGGGCAGTTAGGGTTGCCCCGAAATCGTCTGCGGATCTTGAATACAGGTATATGCTTTCAAGTGGGACTCCTGTTTTCTCTCCGCTCGGCAGTCAGTTGCATCCCATTTTAAACTGTTCGTCTTTTTCTCCCTGCCCGGCAGTCAATGGCATCCCGTTTTAAACTGTTCGGCTGCTTTGCAAAAGTCCAGTGATAAAGGGACTTCAACAACAATGCCGATGCACTGTCCTAATCCTGTCATTGAATAAGTTAATCACTGTTCTAGTCTTCTAGATATATGATACTCGTTTTGTTTGTGTTTTTTTTTTTGTTTATGTTGTTTTTCCCCCGACTCTGGAGGGCTTAAACCACCACTGCCTCCTAGCCTGCTTTTGCAAAGACGAGATTCTTGCCTGCACGTTAGGAGAAGATTGGACAAGTGAGGACTCCGTCCATAGTGATCATATATGATACCCGTTTTGTTTGTGTTTTTCTCTGCTTATGTTGTTTTTCCCCCGACTCTGGAGGGCTTAAAACCACCACTACCTCCTAGCCTGCTTTTGCAAAGACGAGATTTTTGCCTGCACGTTAGGAGAAAATTGGACAAGTGAGGACTCCGTCCACAGTGATCAAGATTGGGAAAGAATGGAAACCCAGGGGCAAATCTTTGATTGTTGACCGAGATTGCCAAACGATCCACAGACCAAGATTGCCAAACGATCCACAATCTGGTACCAAATATTAAATTCAGAAATTCCAAAGTTGGCTTACGAAGGAAATGCATACGGATGGGGGTTTGGTCTTGTTTTTCACGGGCCCGAGCTGTTTTGACTGACTCCTTGGCAGAAAAGAGAGATCCCCATCAGCATCATCTCAACAGATTAGTCACTTTTGTGGGTCATCATGTTATGACCAAATCCTCTGACTCGTGAGGATTACACTCGATGGACAGCCTTGAAAGGCTGGAAAGGATGGACTCGTGAGGATTGCAGTGGACGAACCGCCTTGAAAGGATGGGAACGACGGGAAGTCTGCAGACGAGTGAAAGATGTAAAGAATGAATGGCAGTTGTAGAGAGTCACAGACCAAGCATGGTTTGTGGAATCAAAGACTGTTGTGAATAGAATCGATAGATGGATTTGTTTATGTGTTACTATTCAGTCACTAATACTCACTATGGATTTGTTTATGTTTAACGATTCCGACACTATGCATAGTGTCTTAGGATTTCAGTTTTTTTCTTTGAAAAAAAAGAAACGAAAAAAAAAGAAAAGGGCCATTTTGCGATTTATGCGTGTCATCCTTTAGGAGGGGCCATGCTAATATTCTTTCTCTGTATCGTTCCAATTTTAACGGATGTGCGGAAGGAC